TGGCCAAATATATAAACAACCTCTCTAATTTTACACCAGTTTTTATTTTGACACTTCATCTCAATCTTGTTACACTTTGGTCCTCCAACCCCATTTTTTATGTATCATTTAAACACAAAATAATTTATATGGTGTAAAGCAGTGCGTGTTTATAATCGCTTCTAATGTGTAACAACCATCCAATTAGATTCAAACACCTTCTTTTATCCTTGTTAACCGAGTTACCCAAAATTCGATTTCATTATTTACCCAGATAAGTTACAAAATCCCGATTTTTTTCTCTAACTCCCAAAGTCATCTGCCTTAATTTCATTCCCCAAATCTCTAGTCTTAGATGATGAAATTGTTTATCCGTAAAACGGTACAGTTGAATTTATACGTGATTTCTAGACAAGTGAATTAATTTGATCCTGAAATAATACAATAATTGAAGAAATATATAATACTTCGCCTTGAAATATAGATGAAAACAGTAGAGATGACGATTCCGAGAATAATGTTTCCGGGCACAGCGATAATGAGATCAAAAAACGAGAAAGTAAAATTGTATAAAGCTTTGTATAGAATAGAGTGTAAGTTTAGTCAGAAAATTTGTGTTATTTGCAATGATAACTGAGCTCACTATTCATAGTTATGTCTAGGGAAGGAAGTCCTAGGATCATGTCCTCCTGTAATATCAATTATGAGGGTTATTGATGAAGACGTAACGGTGAACATAAATGTCAAATTCTCTGTAATGGACTCTCGCTCTTAATGCTGCAGAAGATTCGCTATTAAATGCTACCGAGCGCGGAGCATTTAACACACCTTTATGAACGTTATTCTTTCCGGTGACAAGCGGAATGACCATTCAGTATTCGGTCATTCCTGTCTTGGGTTCCACGTGTCCTCTTTTTAGACGTCCACGTGCCATATCATATTTCACCATATACAAAATCATCGATTATTAGTGAATTCTTCATCATTTAAGGACGAGAATCATATTTACATAAATTAATTCTTCATATTTTGCTATATAGTTAGCAGTTAATGATATTTTCGAAAGTGACCATTGTTCATTGTTGCGGTTCTTGTACTGGTAAGTGTCCATTTAGCCGTGCATTAAAGTTTTTTCTTTTTGTTTTTATGATATTTTGGGAATTGAAGACATGAGTTCAGCTGAAAAATTCAAAACTTCGGATAAAGATATGAAATTGGCTTAGAGATATAACTAAATAAAGAAACGCAAAAAAAGAACAAATAAAGAAACTAAAAAACCCAGACTTTGAAGCTTTTATGGAAATGAAATCGAAATGCACAAGAAAATAAGGATTATTTTGGAGAGGAGATGATGAAAGAAATAATGGAAGAGGAGGTTGAGCATTTAAATGGAGTAAACTGTAATTTTTATGGCCTTTTGTTACCGTTAAAATAAAGAATCATACTCCTGTCAAGTGAGGAAATTCTACGAACGTGACACTTTTTGTGTTAAAACGACAGATAAAAAAAATGGAGTTGGAGAGTCAAAATGGAACAGAGCTAAAATTGAATGTCAAAATAAAAATTTGTGACAAGTTAGGGGGATATCTATGTATTTGGCTTTATATTAATCCAAACATTCTCAAATATTCAGAAAGAGGAAAATAGTATTAAATGAAATAGTGGTTCTTCGAATATTCCATTGGATTATTTCATGATCTGCTGTAGCAGCAAAAATGTTGATTACATATCTCTAGAAAGTCAATCATGCTGTTAAATAATTTTGTGACCCATTACAAACTTATTTTTAGTTTTATAATTCTATTTTTTTATATATATAAGAGATTTATTTTTTTAAATAAAAAAATTTAAAAAAGATATTTTTTTTAATTTCAGCCGAGGCCTAAAACCCTTGTAATCCCAATGGCGCAATAATTTTGTGGTACCTTTTCCAGCCGCCTCACAATAATTTTGGCAGTACTAATAAGCTATGGCGAAAGTGTCGACATCAACAATTCTCATGTTTAATTTTCAGCTTACATGCTAATGAATATTTACTCTATTAGAGTGTGTTGGAATGTATTACTCCATCCGTTTATCGTTTATTTTTACTTGTTTAAAAAATTTTGAAAAATAATTTTTTGAAAAATAAATAATTAATGGAAAAGATAAAACGAAAAAAATTAGTTATCTTTCACTTGATATGCTAAAATAAACAAGCATAATTTTAATTTAAAGGACAAATAAAAATAAATGGAGCGACTAACAGTAACTTCACATGTTAATGTCGTATAAATACGTAAAAAAAAAAAAAAAAAAAAAAAAAAAAAAAAAAAAAAAAAAAAAAAAAAAAAAAAAAAAGAAGAATCAAATAGAATATGGGAGAGTGGATCACGCGCTGCTGTGAGCGTGAGAGGAGAAGTGAAGAGCCGTGGCAAGCAATAAGTGTTGTCGTAAAAAAGAAAATCCTGCTGGTTTTCGAGAGAACCATGGGCGGGCTTGCCGGCTTTCGGTAAGTAGAATCCGCAGACACGCGTATATTTTTCCTTCAAACACGTGTTAGATTCTCATTGGCTTAGATAATGAGCCGTGAATAAAATGCGGGACCCAGCCACCATTAAGGAAAAAGTGTTGAAAAAACGGATCCATATGACGCGGCGGAATAGCTGAGAGCCTTAGCCGACAAACCCGGTTCAACCGGATTTGTCACCGTTTCTCCACTCCCCACATTTATCCATTTATTTGACCATCTTCCACGTGTTTTCCTTACCTTAGATTATTATTACTTGAGTGTCTGAATTATTATTTTTTTCCTTAATGTCTTCGATATTCTCTTGTTTTGTAAGCCTAATAGAATTAACGGCGAAGGTCCAAATATATCCCTATACTTTTAAAAATGATCTAAGAATATTTTTTGTTTGTGTTATCTTTACTCATCTAGTAATAATTTAAGTTTAAATATACCTCTCATTTAAACAGAAGGACACGTATCATCGTCATGTTGACCAATTATAAATATCTCCTAATTAATTAAAAAGATTCATTACTCATACCCAAAAAGCAATTTTCTAAAGCAATTTTCTTTGTAAAAATTCGAAAAAACTGAAATATTTATTACTAAAAACTGGAAAAAAAATAAAAATATTTTTTTTCTTCAGTTTTTACAAAAAAAAAATGCTTTAAAAAAACAAAAAAATATTTTGTAAAATAATATTTATGTAAAAACTAAAAAAAAAACTGAAAAGAAATTTTCTAAAGCAACAAAAAACTAGAAAAAACTGAATTTTTTTAAACTAAAAACTGAAGAAAAATAATATTTGTTTTTTCAGTTTTTGTAAAAACATTGCTTTAAAAAATTACTTTTCAGTTTTCTTTTTAGAGTTTCTACAAAAACAATTGCTTTAGAAATTATTTTTCAGATTTTTTTTTAAAGCAATATTTTTCTAAAAACTGAAAAAAAATATTTTCGATTTTTTTCAGTTTTTAGTAAAAAACCATTTAGTTTTTTCCAGTTTTTACAAAAAAATTGCTTTAGAAAATTGCTTTTCAGTTTTTGTTTTTAGTTTTTACAAAAATATTGTTTTAGAAAATATTTTTCAGTTATTTTAAAGCAGTTTTTTTGTAAAAATTGAAAAAAAAACTATTTTCGTTTTTTTTCAGTTTTTAGTAAAAAAAACATTCAGTTTTTTCCAGTTTATGGGTAATAAATTTTTTTAATTAATTAAGAGATATTTATAATTAGTCAACATGACGATGACACGCGTCCTTCTGTTTAAATAAAGGGTATATTTGAACCCAAAATATGACCGCATAGGTATAGATAACCCAATAGTATAACGAGGGATATTCTTAGACCATTTTCGAAAGTGCAGGGGTATATTTGGCCCTTTGCCGTAAAATTAATTACCTTTTGAAGGTTGTTACAATAGCTTTGGCATAATTTAAAAGAAAATTTTCAATTACGCTTATAATTCTACGATATTTGACCAAATCTATTTTTATTTTGGTGACAAGATTTATTTCAATCAAATATTTAAAAAAGGAAAACTAACTCAAAACTTTGTCAAGTTATTTGAAGGTATGAATGCTTCGAACACAGTCTCACTTACATTAACATTCCAAGATTTCACCTATGAGATTACACTGAGTTTGTTATTTTTATTATTTGCATGTGTGACTTTAGAAGAATTTTCAATAAATTATGCAATTTCATGAATTATTTTCTAAATTTACATTGAAATAATAAAGGGGTTCGTCTAAATATTGCAACAAACTCATCTAGTTAAAAGTTATTGATAAATTATAAAGTACATTTAATCCACTTAATATAGCTCATCAATTTAAAATATACACATTAATGTGAGATGTTAAATTGTGCATATAGTTTATAAATACAAATTCTACTAAAACTTTTTTCTTTTCATAGAAAATAAAATTATCTACACCCTTTTTTTCAAACAACAAAAAACACAACCCAGTGTAATTTTACATGTTGGGTCTGGACCATTTTTTTTTTAAAGTATGCCTCAATATTTATTATACAATGAGTAACCTGTAAGTAATTTTTTAGATTAATTTGGATTATGTAAATTATTTATACTAAGTACTAACAACATGCATATGTTGTTTAAAACTCTATCACTTGCATTTATGGACAATTAAATTTAGTCGCTGTAACGTACTATTGAAGAATCAAATTCCATTTAATACCTAACCTTTTTATTCAACTTTGACTCCACATTTATTCCTACTGATCTGTTTGTAAAAAACCGACAATAGGCAATTGCCCCTCTAATTTTCACCAGTCACATATTATTGTATAGCAAAATACTAATGTCTACGTACTTCCCACGTATATCCAAAAAATAAAATAAAATACTCTGCCGCCATCAAATAACACAAATGTCACGTAACTGAATGGACCCCACATATCGAGAACGTAGGTCCCACATCCCATGGGGGCGGCTATTTCTGATTAGTCAAATACCCATAGCCACTATTGACCGTACCCCCCCGCACGCTTTTTCCTATTTAAATCGCCTTCTTCTTCTTCCATTTTCTCTATTCCCTACCCTTTGTGTTCTTCAAATTTCAGCATAAATTTGTCCAAAATTATTACTATTAAAAAAATAGCATAGGCAGAGAGTGAAAATGGCGCCGAAGCAACAGGGTGGCGCGATAGCCGTGCCGGTTACAGCGGCGGTTGGAAAAGTGAACGGAATTTCAAAAGAGGTGCATTATAGGGGCGTAAGGAAGAGGCCATGGGGGAGGTACGCGGCGGAGATAAGAGATCCGGGGAAAAAGAGCCGAGTTTGGCTTGGGACTTTTGATACGGCGGAGGACGCAGCGAAAGCCTACGATGCGGCGGCGAGAGAATTTCGCGGTGCCAAGGCGAAAACTAATTTTCCTCCGCCGGAAGAAGAGAACCTCAAAATCGCCCAAAACAATTTAGGCGTTAAGATAAATAAGAATATCAATGATAATAACAATCGTAGTCCGAGTCAGAGCAGTACCGTTGAGTCATCTAGCCGTGACGGGTTATCTCCTGCCGTTATGGTTGACTCATCGCCGTTAGATCTCAGCCTCGGCGTGAAATTCCCGTTCCAGAACCATCAGCTCCGTACTTCTCCGATTTCCGGCGGGTTTCCCGGCTGCGGTTTCACCGGCGCAACTCCTGCGGTGAATCATCACATGTATTATCTGGAGGCTCTGGCACGTGCGGGAGTGATAAATCTGGAAAAACACCAGCAAAGGAAGACGGTTGATTTCCTTGGCGGCAGTAGCGGCGGTAGCGGAAGTGGGACCCAGAGTGAATCTGATTCATCATCGGTGATTGATTTTATGCGCACCGATGTTAAACCGACTACCAGAACTGGTCTTAATCTGGACCTCAATTTTCCTCCACCGGAGAACGTGTGAAAACGCCGGCGACGTAGGTCGGAGATTTTGAAAGCATTTCTTTTTCTTTTTAATTTAATTAGTGCAATTTCCTTTTAATGTTTATTTAACAGAAAAGGAAAATGAAAAAAAAAAAGTATATAGAGTTAGGTGATAATTAGAAAACTCAAGAGCCACCGCCGATCGATGTGAATATCAAGAAAGGCTGATCTACTTCCTTTTTTTGCAACACAAACAAATCTATTGATTTTGATTGCTGTTGTTCAAAGATCATCCTTATAATATTGTTGCCGGTTTTTTTTAGCTGAAAAAAGAACAGCCTTAATATTAATTATTTTAGACAAATTTCAATATACAGTTAAAATATTCGCTTTTTTATTTTACATCCAGATTTTACGTGTGTGTGTGTGTGTGTTTTGTTCGGTCGGAATCGGAGGAGCATGTGGTGGTGGTGGTGATGGCGGTCAGAGAGTTTTGGGTTACACGTGCGGCACGTGTAGTCCATTAGAGTACGGACATGGCAGATACCGAGGAGGACAGAGTTATTTTTGAGCAATAATGGAGTCGGTGCCACGTGGGTGTTGTCTGCTCCCCTTTAGGTGGTTGGTTTATCATTCAGCTAACGTAATAAATACGTACTTTAAGCTATAACCGTAATGATGTACAATCTTTCTTTTTTCTATACTTTTCTTTTAAGTGAAAAATTGTTAGCCTCACTAATGGATTAAACGTTATTGGCAATTACTCCGTCCGTTTCAATTTAGATGAGTTAGTTTAATCTGACACGGAGTTTAAAAAAAAATTTGAAACTTGTGGTCTTAAAAACTAAAGAGGTAAAAGTTTTGTGGGGTCATGACATTTGTGTGGTTATAAAAACTTCTCATTAAGGATAAAATGGGTAAAACGAAGAGTTTAAAGTTGAATTATTTTTAAATTTACTAAAAAGGAAAGTACCTCATTGCTATTATAGTTAAAAAAATTAGTATGTAAAACTTGACTTTTTATTAAAATTATTATGGAAAACTTTGACTTTTTATAATAAAATGATATTATATACTCCTTCGTTTTCAAGTTATGTGAACTCATTTGACTGAGCACGAAATTTAATAAAAGAGAGAATTTTTGAACTTATGGTGTAAAATGGGTCACATATATTTTGTGTGGTTATAAATCATTGCATAAAGGTAATTTGTTTCCAAATAAAAAAATGAGTCATTCTTTTTGGCACGAACTAAAAAAAAATATGTTCACATAAATTAAAACGGAGGGAGTATGATATTGATATTGAGAGTATGTGAATCAAGATGTGAACAAGTAAAATTAAAAAATCCAAAATTATCAAGTAAAGATTTATAATCTATATTGCACTTGTAATAATTTTAAATTTAATTCTAAATTCTATAAGTAAAAACTTTGAGGATCAATTGATCATACACTTGGATAACTTTTAGCAAATATAGAGGAGAGAACAAATACTTGAATGGATTATAATTCAAAGTACTCCAACAGTCGTTTTGCAGTTTAGATTATGCCTTGATCTCGGAAATATAAAATATTGAACTTTTTAATGTATTTGACGGGAGATATGAGTTAATTAAGAGGCAAGGCATTACAAACAAGGTAATTTTAGAAACTCGAAAGGGTAAATTGCAATTTACTAGTCATGCTTACAGTGTAATCTTAGCTGTCTGTTGGTGGTTCCCCGACATAAATAGTGGTCTTAACCGTAGAATCTCTTTTTGAGTAAAGCAAACAGATAAAGCTTATCCTTAAAACGACGTTAATGCGAATCAGAGCAAAAACAGATAATCTTATCTTATGATAAATGAATTAAACCAATATTTAAGTAGGGATGGCAATGAGGAGTGCGGGTGCGGGGTGATGTGGGTTTTAGCATATGCGGAGTGGTGCGGATTTAGACATATGCGGGTGCGATACGGGTCAAAATAATTTTTTTAAATTCTTTGTGGGTGCGGTGTGGGTCAAAATAATTTTTTTAAATCCTTTGTGGGTGCGGTGCGAGCTTTTAACTTGTTGCAAAATTACAACGTTTCAACTATTGCTCATATTATTACAACCTGGAAATATTTACTTTTTTAGTTTTGAACTTGTGGTTCCTTTCTCCTATGCATTGATTATTTTAGACTCAAACTTTTTTTAAAAAATTTTCATGTATCTGATCTCATTATCTTGTACGATACATCTGAATCATTAGAAATGACATACTAATATATCAAACTGAATTCCAATACTGATGCATATAAAATCAGAAATAAGTATATTAAAAGTTTTAAAACCGAACATTGTTAAAAATTAAAATTGACAGCATTCGGTAAGATTTATAGTTATGAATATTTAAAATTGGACTTCTTTGGTTTGCAATTTGGATTCCAACAGAAACTTTTAGATTATAACTATAATTTAAAATAAAATTAAATAAGATAAAAATATTACAAATTGAAAGAAATAATAAAGGAAAAATTTTGCAGAGTGGGGCAGGGAGGGTGGATGCGGGGGTTGATATGGGGCGGATGGATGCGGGTGAAAATACTATGTGGGGTGAGGCGGGGTGGGTTAAAATTTTGTGGGTTAAGGCAAAACCCACCCCTCACCCGTCCCGCCCCATTGCCATCTCTATATTTAAACCACTATAATTTAGAACATTAATTTTGGATTTGGGGCATGGGGGTGTGATAGAGGGGGGTAATACGTCTGAGTTGTTGACTATGTAACCCTATGGAGATCGGAGTAGGTGGCAGTCCGCAGATAATGAGATATTACCAAACTACATTTAAGAGATTTTTACATAATTGCTCTCTTTTTAAAAACTATTCTCATAAATAATAGTAGGTTTTGTTTATTCCAAAAACGACACATTTTTTTTAAAAACTTTTTTAGCACTTTTACATTGATAACTCCATTAACTAAGGGATCCCTCTACATTAATACACTTTTTACTATATTTCCTTTTTCCTAACTATATGACTGGCATGTGTGCCGGGCCCGGTCCTAAGTGAACTTCGTGGGCCGGTCCTAAATGGGCCCGATCCCAACTTAAACGGGCTTCGCGGGTCCGGAATTCGCGAGTTTTTTGTAGGAATCGGGCCAACGAACTAATGGTCCCGGTCTAAGTGGGACGGCCCCGGGCCTAAGTGGGCCCAACAGATACTTTCTATTTCTTTTTAAAATTTTATAGAAATTAAAGAAAAAATATGGTAATAAAAATATCTAAGGCAATTCCTTGTAAATTATATTATAGAATTGTGACCTAAATTTGTTAATTCAAATTTAAAGACAAAAATATTATAAAGAGATATTTAAAGCAATGCGTTATAATTTTATTATAGCATTAAAAAAATATGGCAATATCTTTCTTAGTCTTCCTCCCTCCTATGGAATGAGCACAACAAGGTGCTAATACCACAATTGAGAAGAAAAAGAAACTAATCAAGATGTGCCAAAATCAGATGTTTCTATCCGTTTAGAAGGTTGTCTAGAAAAAGTAGGGGAAGTAACAGGAGGGTCAGACGGGGCATCATTTGGATTATTATTAGTTGGGTTAACTTCAGGAGCAGGACTAGTGGGTGTATCGTCATCCGGTTGCATTTCATCAAAATATATTTCTTCATCATCATTTTCATCAATAGTTGTATTACCATAAAGAGCATTCATATATTCATGATTTAATTGTTCACCGGGTGCAATTATATTATGGCAAAATTGACTCTCGGTAAATTGTAATAAACTATTATCGCTATCAAGAATAGCAGGTGTAGGACGGGTAACAGGTTTGGGTCGGGGAGCCGGGGGAAGTGGAGGANATAGCAGTTGTAGGACGGGTAACAGATTTGGGTCGGGGAGCTGGGGAAAGTGGAGGAGGAACAGATTGGCTACTAGATTCACCACTCTTGGATTTTTTCTTATTTTTACTAAATATTTTTTAAGGAATAAGCCATCTTAATTAATCAAGCAATATAACGTAAATAAAACAAATAAAACTATAATATTAAAACTTAAGAGTTGGAACGAGTTTACCGAATTGACGAACAACTTGTTGAAAATTAATTATCGTTGAAGACTTGAAGACTTCAATTCACCAACTTCACAATTTCTCACAAATTGTAACAATAAAGTAAGCAATTATAGAAGAAAATTAGAGAGATTGAGAGAGACTGATGATTTTGTGAGAAAAATGAAAGAATGAGGGAGTATATATAGTTGAAAATAGGGAAAAAGTATAATTATAAAAAGTTTGGAGTTAAAACAAAGTTAGGGGAGTTAAATGGCTATTTTGGCAGAGGAAACGACTAGATTTTAAATGCCCAAGCGGGCAGATTTTTTTTTTTAAAATTATGTCCGTTGGGACCGTTTAGGCCCGCTACGACCGGTCCCGGTCTCAAACGGTCCGGTCTCGCGGGCCTCAAGATAAGGACCAACCCACTTGCCAGGTCCACCTCCCCCTATCCCGGTCTTAAACGATTTAGCCCGTTTAGGCCCACTACCCACATGGGCCGCGGTCCTAGGCCGGTCCCCGTCCCCGTCCTGAACTGGCCCACTTGCCAGCCTTACCTCACTCTTCCATATTTTCTTTTTTCTCTTTCATAAATAACACTTACCCAAATATATCATTAATAGTCTACTATTAATGAATGTAGCCCCCATTTTATGGGATATATTTTTCTTTTAATATGTCTAGAAGTATAAAAGCTTATAATTTTAAAATTAATTACTTTAAAAATTTGTATTTCAGTCCTAATAATATTTAAAATAATTACTTCGTACCATTGTGGGACTAGTCATGTAGGGTTTTTGTCTAAGATAGTTAGTGGCAATGTTGTGTCTCACTGTTTTTCTTTTCAGTGCAGGTCCTATTTACTAGCTATCACTTTTGCTTTGTATCTTTCTTCTAGATTTCATGGTGTTCATATTTTCTTATGATTGCTATGGTGATACTAATATTGTCTCACATTGCCTTGCATTTTTCTTCTGGATTTCACGGTGTTCCTATTTTTTCTATGATTAATGTGGTGATACTAATATTGTCTCCTTTTGTCCTTTTGTCTTTTTGTTTTCTTGAGCCAAGGGTCTTTCGGAAACAACCTCTCTACTCCTTCGGGGTAGGAATAAGGTCTGCGTACACTCTACCCTCCCCAGACTCCATTAGTGAAATTTTACTAAATTATTATTGTTGTTTTAATAATATTATATTATATTATATTATATTCACAAAAAATATTTATGACTAATCTTAAAACGACAAGCTTCAAAAAATTCTCTCTTAAATTCACCCCCTTCGAAAAAGGTATGTAAGTGTCTAACTATGCAATATAAGAATATTTACATTACTAGATCATGAAAAATAATAAAACACCGTTAAAAAGTA